TGCCTACCCCTGATCTAATCCATAAATTATCTTGGATGTATCTTCTGCAGTTGCTTTGCTTTCCATGTAAAATGCAATGCAGTCTCTTGACTCTTTGCACTGGCAACTGGTGTCTGGGGTAGAGAATTTAGGAAGACACCTTATACCAGCTTAGGTATTTGTACATCTCACCCTGTTCAGTATTCTCTACTCTAACTGGCAGCAGCTTTTTAGGGTCTCAGGCATAGGGCTTCTGTGTTTTGCAATTTTTTTTCTAGTTAGAGACGTCATACATTGAACCTAAGACACTAGGCATGGAGAGCATGTACTTTGTCCCTGTCATTATGTCAGGTTTCAGGGGATCATCTGTTGAGAGGTGTAGCCATGCTGTTGCAGCTTGGATGTCATTTCAGCCACGCTTTGGCATAATAGGACTTTTGAGTATGGCTTCACGAAGAATATATGTAGGGATAGCATCTCACTTGGAAATACCACCCATACATCTGATCCCACTCTGTCACTGAATCATCCTCACATGATGGGGGAGTCAGATAATACAATTGTGCATCTATAGGGGTGTAATGATTTAGGCAGAACTACCTGAGCATGCCACAAATTTGAAAGTTAAAAGCACACTTCACTAGGATCAGTGGGGTGCCTGTGCTGCAATATGGGATCCATCAATTCAGTTGTTTCTTTGTCCCCTGCAGTTTACACTTGCAAGTCCACAAACTCTTCCTCTCCCCAGTCTGGGTGATAGATTTTGTTTATCTAGGTGGGTAAAAACCCCTGTTGTTTTTTTTTATTCTCTTTCCCTTCTTAACAGAGGAGGAGCTGAGGAAGCTGAGAGAAGAAACAAATGCTGAAACATTGAAACAAGAGCTAGAAAAAGAACGTCTGAGGAGGATAGAACTGGAACAAAAAGTCAATGAAATACTTAAAACAAGGTAAGGAAAATCTATCATAATACAAAACGTGGTATGACTGGCTCTAGTCTAGAAGAAGGCAGTTTAACAGTGAGTTAACAATGCATACTAATAATATGTTAGTCTGTTTTTGCCATTTCATGATGGGAAATGAAGAATTGGTGGTTACATAATGGTTTTGAAGCAGTGAACCTTTCTTCAGTCTTCTTGAATTCTCATTGGCTCAGGAGCCTGCATACCTGGACATTTGTTGGTGCTGATGTGAATTTCAGTTCAGCAACATCTGGAGAGCCACAGATGCCCCTCTACTAGCAGATTAGGAAAACAATATATACTAATGGCAATTGAAAAGTTTCACTCTAAGTTTTTTGTTGGGGGGAGTTTTAGTTCCTTTTGTTCTGGTGATGGAAAAAATAAGCTTCTCCCCCCCATGTGTGCTATATTCTCAGAAGAGTCTGCACATGTCTCCCCTGCAAGACTGTATTGATTTCAAGCAAAACCTGACACACTGTGCATTAGGTGTAACATGTACTTTTAGCCCTCATTATTTTATTAGAATGTCAGATGTCACAAAATGGTTTATCAGCCAAATTAATCCCTAGAATCCCTTATGGTCAATCCATTAAAGTGTATAAGTCTTCTCCTGAACTACTTGATTTATAACAGCAGTATCTCCATTTTACAAAAGCTGAGCATAAAAACAACAACATTCAAGTCATATTCAAGCAGAGAAGTAGCACCATCCAAACTTGTAAAGCAAATACTAATTCTGTTTCTCTGTTTCTCATGACTGAGTGACCTCAGCTCTTGATTCTCCTCTGTCTATTATATGGACGGAGGGGAGAAAGTGCATCAGAACATACTGAACAGCAGTGTTCAGCAAACACTTGAACATTGTTGAAACCTATTTATGTAATAAGGAAAAAAGATAACCATTTAATTTTAGCAAAGTAGTTCAATTATGAAACTCTTATCATGCTGCTTTGCACTTTCAACCTTTGGACTAATCTTTAAGAATGCTTCATTTGTGTTGGTCTTTAAACAACTTTAAACTTCAAAATTCCCTAGTCTGCATAGTGCTGTTTCATATATCTGTGTTTGTGACCAGCCTCCTTTTTGTGTGTAAACCACTATGTTATCTCTGAAAAGCAGGATATGGATGTATTGTACAAAATAGTGAAGGTGAAATGCATTTCTTTTCATTCTATTTCTCAATCTCTTATCATATTAAGGAGAAATACTGAACAGTATCTGGCATTAGTTTTATATACTTTTCAGTGAGGATGCTCTTCGATCACTTTGTACTTAAGGTACCATCTGCTACAAGAGGCACTTTGCCAGTAGAACAAATGTCTAAATTATTTGGAATGGTCTGATTGGCCATTTGTTTGGTGTAAATTGGATTCTGTCACTACTATAGCTATGAGTTAATTTTATTGCATAACAAAGCTATAATTACAGCTAGCAATGCTGGATGTTGTAGGTGAATTATGCACTTTTCATGAAGTTTCTGTTTTTAGGTTTGGTTGTATGACATAGATTGACATGTCATGTACAAGTATCTTTTTATTCCCATTTGTTATGTCCCATATTCATGGAAGGTGAAATACTTGTTTAATAGAGCCTTTTTCCAGAGTAAAGGTGAGCAAAATGTGGACCACATGCAGTCCTCAAGGTTGTTCTTGCCTGCCTGCCCCAAGGGTCCCTAGGTTCCAAATTTGGGGAACGTAAATTGTTGGGTCCAAATATACCTTTCTCCAATGCTATGGGCCATTTTAACATTTTTTGGAATGCTTCAGAGTGAAGGATTTTCTTTTAAAGGCCCAGATGGGGTCTTTCTTCCAAACAGGAGGTGACTGGAAAGCAGGCTTGTCCAGGCCTAAAAAGGGTGAGGGGCAGATGAAACTCCCTCCTCCCCCAAATGTGGCAAAATGATATATCTTACCTCCTGGAGATTTGGAAGGCTACTATTAGCCATTTGAGGGAGAAGGGGGGAGTATGACCCTTAAATGTTCTGCAGGATATTGAGATCATGGTGAGTGTCTACTTGTAGTTGCCCATTGTGATCTATAAGTTTACAGAGGTGGCTTTGGATATGGTATGAATGATATCAAGACTTTTGGCCTTGGGGGCTTTAATATCCAGACTGGTTCTGCCTTGAAAGGAGTGTGAATTCATGGCCTTTATGATAACCTCTGGCTTGTTTCAAATAACCTTTGCCCCATCCTATATAGCAGGACATGTTCTAGATGTGTACTAAGTTAGGGGAACTACTAGTTCCTCTGCTGATTGATCGTGTGACCATAAAGGTCACAGATTGATCTTGTGACCAAAAAGGTGCACAACTCATATCTATAGTCTGCCCTCAGAGACAGTTAGATCAGATGTTTGCAAAGTTTTGGGGGGATTTTTTGGGGTAGTTACACTCATTTGTTCTGCCTAGATCCTGGTCACTGTCAAGGGATAGGGAGACATCTCAGCCTGTCAAGACAATCACTTTCAAATATCCTTGACTCAGTTGTAGAGCTGTGTCAGCTCTTTGATATTCTGGAGAGCCGCAGATGATGAAACAGGTCAGTTGGTGACTAGAGTGCAAATGGTAAAAAAAAAACAAAAAAAACCTTGTGGTGATTACAGCCAAACAAGAAAAAAATGCTTTTATACTCTGTAGTAGTGGCTGGGACAAAGGGACTTTGGCTGGGGTAGAGGGACAAAGATGTCTGCAGTGGCTCTGGTGGAGACAATGTCAACAGTCTCTGTGGCTGAATATGTTCTGTTTTTTAGACCAAATTTTGGAGGAGCTGTCCAAAGTGCTGAACCAGTGGGGTGCAAACTAAGAATTAGCACCTCAGGTAGCTGCTTTAAAGTTCAGTCTTAAACCTAATGTAAATTCACTGCCCCATTGATATGGAAGCCACCAGGCAGCACTGCTCTCTTGATGGATAAAGAGCCTTTTGTATAAAGTTGAAGAGAACCAGCTGATAAGAGCCTTGAAAGCATTGTTGTGAGCAGTTTGCATTGTATTTTGCTGATACAATTGCTTATATTTATTCCTGCATGAATGCTATAGTTACAACACAATTAGAGATGAATGCAGCAAGATCCCATCTGCTTGTCTCCTTTTGCCTACTCGTGTTTGTTCAACCGGAGGATGTGAACAAGCTGTTTCGAGGATTGCTGAGGTCACCACCATTTTTCCTTTGCTCCTCGTGACTTGGGAAGTTTGCCAGAAGTGGACTTACAATATGGGTGTAGGTTGTTCCAACCCACCCTTTGCTCAGTCACTGCTGTTTCTGCTATATTGTTGCTGCTCTCTACATAAGGGTATCCCAGGATTCCCCTTTTCTTCTCCCAAGAAAATGTTGCTGACCATATTTTGGGGGAGAGGGAGTGGAGACATGTTCCACTTGCCATAGACAGAGGAATGTCTGCTTCAGTGGTTTAATTTTTCAAGGCATATTTCAGCCCCTTTTTGTGACACACTGTTGACTTGCCTGGCAACTCTAGAGTTTTTCTCTCCAGCTATTTAAATGCTGAAATATCCCTGAAATTGTATCCAAATGTATGAATAAATAGTGGGGTATTGACTGATCATTGTTTTATTTGAATAGCATTAGAACAGGAGGTGGCAACTGTGGAAGATTAGGAGGTGCAGAGCCAGTGTGGTGTAGTGGCTTCAGCATTGGACTGTGACTCTGGAGACCAGGGTTTGAATCCCAGCTCAGCTATGTAAACCCACTGGGGGAGCTTGGGCAAGTCCTGCTCTGTCAGTCTCAGAGGAAGCCAATGGCAGACGCCATCTGAAAAAACTTGCCAAGAAAATCCAGTGATAAGTTCCTCTTAGGGTCGATGTAAGTCGGAAATTACTTGTAGGAATACAACAACAAAAAATTAGCATGGGTTTTGGATGTCTGCACCCCCTATGGCACTTGCTCCTGCAAAAAAAAATTAAAAATAAAAGTAATAATCATCAATTTATTTGGTACCCAGTGCTCCTCAAAAGTCTTCTAGGGGACACAGGGGCATGTTTTTGGGCCTTCCTAAAGTATTCATGTTTCTACAAATCCCTTGAGGACATTTTGAGACAAAAGGTGTTTGTTTTGCAAAATTTCATTTTGATTGAACACCCCAGGGTGTCTCGAGGGACTCCAGATGTGGTAAGCATGCAATCATAAACATAAGAGATTTTTTTTTTTGGCATTTCTTAGCAAAATATTTTTTTCTGAAATTTCTTTTTGCAAAACAATTTTTTTTTACCTCTGACTTTGCCCACCTCATATTGGAACAATGATTCCCAAAGTGGGCAGTATGCCCCCCAGGGTGGTGGAAACATCCAGGGGGTGTGGTGAGCAGCAAAGGAGGCACCAGGGGGCCTGTGAGGGGAAAAGGGTAGCAGGGGGTCTTTCAGTCAAAGTATTAGTGTGGAAGAAAGAGAAGGGTAGCCAGCAGCCTTAAGGACCATGGTGGGGATGAGAATTACCTGAAACTTCTTTTCAGGGTCCCTTTAAACGATTGCACAGCTCCCTTGCCTACATCTTTCACTATTAGTGGTGGTTGGGAAATTCTCACATCTCACTCGGCTTAGGTGCAGGGCTATTTTGGGACAGACTGACTCCTGAAGCAGAATCCCTGGATTCCTCATGCACCCCATTATTCTAACAACAGCCTTCTGTTTTGGAAGTTAAGAAGAGGATGAAACTCTGAATTCCTCCTGCACTCCACTCCCAAAGCTGGAGGCTCTTGTGTCAGTGGCAGACATCAGCCTTCCTCAAACTCAATGGCTCCTTGATTATCCTGTCTACTTCTGCCTTTCTTGTGGATGGGGCTGAGACATACCAGGAGGATGGAGGAACTAGAAGGCCCTGCCCTGTCTCCTCCTCTTCTCCCAGAGGGTGTTTGAGGCTCAGTGGTCAGAGAAAGGAGAGGCCTCATTTGCTGCACTTTCTGGCCACACCTTCTCTTCCACTGAGCTCCTTGTATCTTATGTTTGTGACACATTTCTTCCAAAAGTTAAACATTTTGGGAGCAAAAGTGACATGGCTAGGTTGGTGGTCATAGTGTCACCCCACTTATGGTGTCACCTAGTGTGGCCTGCATCCGTCTTGTTCCGTTGTAACACCTCTGCTGCAAGGCCAGCATAGGTGTGAGGCTTCTCAGTCACTGCTCAACCAGCTACTTGGTTGCTGCTCCCAAGGTGACCAGGTGGCAAAGGGAGCAATGACTGAGATGGGTTATTTTGATTAGATTGACAGTAGACCTAATATTAAGAAAATATGTATTGGAGGGTGGCCGCTAAGGTTGTCATCCAAGAGGAAAGAGAGTGGTAGCCCAAAAAGGTTTGGGGGCCACTGTATTAGAGTGTAGTGTTAGAGCAGAGTTACTGTTAGACTTGGAGACAACTATTGTGGTGTAGAAAGCCAGCATAGTGTAGTGCAGGGATAGGCAACCTTTTTGAGCCGGGGGCCGGGTTGCTGTCCCTCAGACAATTGGGGGGGCCGAAGCACCAAAAATAAATAAATAAATAAATAAATAAATAATAAAAATATATTTTTAATTTTTTTTAAATAAAAAATATGCATGCATATTCTCTCAGCCCCAGAAAAGCCATGGCAAACCCCCTGTGGAGATTTTGCCAAGTAAACCCCAAGAACAAGTAATAACAACAATAATCAATATCATCATGGTGGGCGGGGGGCGGCGGCGGCGGCAGGACTGGCCTGGGGCCAGTCCAAAGGCCTAGGGGCTGCATCCAGGCCTTAGGTTGCCTACCCCTGATGTAGTGGTTTGAGTGTTGGCTATGACTCTGAGACCAGGGTTTGAATCCCAACTCGGCCTTGAGGTCCCACTGGGTGATCTTGGGCAAGTTACGTTGTCCCAGAGGAGAGCAGTAGAAAACTTTCTCTGGATAAATCTTGCCAAGAAACCCCTGTGATAGGTTTACCTTATGGTAAATTCTGTAAACACGTTAGAGAGTTAAAACTTCTTGGATGTTTAATGGCAAGACATGCCATTGTTTAAAGTAGCAGTCTCATATTTTGCTTCTTTTAATCCTAACAATACTGGTTGCTTTTTTAAAACTTGTATGTGGTGTGTTTGGGTATTTAAAGGAGCTGAGAACAGGAGCAATTTTGAAGTAAATTTAAGAAAGTGACTCACCATGGGACAAGCATAGCCCTGCCTGAAAACCTTGTTAGAACCTTGTGGTGGGTGCCCTTTCAAGGTGCCTGAGTAAATAACAAGTGCATCTCAGGTCAGGTTCCCTTTTCATTTTGTGCATCATGGTTACCAATTGCAAAAATGAAGATGTTTGCAAATTCCTTGGTGCAGACTTTTGGGTGCTCCTCTAGGTTGGAGTTGAATGGTAAGTTTGTAAACCTGTACTATGCTACTGTGCAAAATTATATGCCATTAGACATTGATGGCCAGCTCCAAATGACTTTTCATGCTCCTCTAATTGCAGTGTGACTAATCAGAAATGAACTGAAGTTGGCGTTACCACCATGCTTGATAGAAACAACATTTTATCAATTAAAGAAAATTAAGACATTACACAGATGCAGTGTAATGAGTCTCTTTTAAAATGAAGGGCAACATGGATGGTTTGTAACATTTGGGCATGCTCAGTGTTGTGTTCAAAGGTGTTTTCTTGTCAAATGTCTTGTTCCTACAGTAGGCCCAAGGCTATATAATTATCAGGCAGAGCAAATGGTATCTTCCTCCAGTGTATCCTAAATTAAAGATTTTGCTTCCTCATTTGGTTTTAGGGAAGGCAGACCTCATTGACAGTGCTTTGTTCCTCACAGATGGTTACTGCAAGGAATGTTGTTATCAGCATGCTTGGTACTTGACAAAGCTGGAATGCTTAATGTCACAGATAAAATGCACAAAGAGCAGCCTACATTTATAACAAAACAAACAAACCCCCCAAACATCTCAGGATAGGGGCTCTGGTATAGACTGGGGCCTCATTTTCTTCTCAGCTGCAAGAGAATTAATGGTTTTCACTCTTGTATTTTGAAAGGCTGTTGAAACCTAGACCCCTTTTCATGCTGAAATACACATTAAGACAGCTTCTTGCTAGTTAAAAAACAAATTGTACATTTATATTGCTCTGTTTTCTTCTAGACAGGGCCAGATCAACTTCAGTTATAGTAAGACATTTGCCAAAAGGATTGGCCATGTCTACTCTCTAGCTGTTGCAGTATCACTTCTGGCCTTTTTGAATGCCTGGGTGGAAAAGTGGTGGCAGTGGCAGCTTTTTGGCACTGCCTCTCAGAAGAGCACTGAGAGAGTGGAGCGAGTCACAATTTCTTTTAGGTACTCTGAGGATGGAGTACTCTTACCTTTTGTCACTCTACTCAGAGAAGGGGATGGTTCCTCTTTTCTTTCTTTCTTTCTTTTTTTTTTTTTTTGGATAAGAGTTAAGGTACACTATTTACCTTACTAACTTTTAATAAGAGTTAGTACTGTCCCTTAAGACCTATCTTTACATCCTTTTTGACACATGTGCCTTCTCTTAGCCCTGCCCACACTTGGTTGCCTCCATCCACATCACACAGCCACCATTTACTGTTCTCTCCTTATCCAGCCAGCCTTTAGTGTGAGCACAAACAATTATTGTGGGGTAATTTAAGTTTCTTAGGGCTTCAGCCTTTTTAAAGGAAACAAAAATCAAAATATGAAAGCCAAGCCTGTTTAGAGTCTGGGTTTAAATTAGCAGAGTAGCAGAAGAGTGACTTTGCCTAACTATGCTTCCCTAAGAATTTAGACTGACTCAAAAACAACAAACATGTAGCTTGTAGTTCAAAACAATGGCTTTAATCTATATTTACATAAGTCTATATTTACATAAAATCTAACTAGCGATGGTTTAGGTCAGCGGTAGGCAAACTGTCCCCTTTAAGGGCCAAGGGACTTCAGCTCCCAGAATCCCAGACTATTGGTCAGCATCCCAGACTATTGGCCAACATGGCTGAGGCTTCTGGGAGCTGAAGTCCCTCAGCCCTTAAAGGGGACAGTTTGACTACCCCTAGTTTAGGTAAAGAAAAATATTTATCTCACCATCTTTCAAAATAAAGTAGAGAGAGCAGAAAGATGGATACAGCTCAGTTGAATCTTGAGAGAAAGTACTCTTAGTCCCAAAGAGGGAGTGACAGTCACATGGTTAGTTTGAAAAGAGAGAGGAGTTTGCAAACAGGAATCCCTGTCTATCTACTGAAGGGGGGGGGGGGGGAAGAATGCAAAGGTCTTCCAACAGTTATGCCTGCTGGAATTTTTTAAGTTCTTTGGCATTGTTTCCCTTTGTTTCATCCTTTAGATCCTTTGTTACATGCCACGGATAATGTCAAAATCCATAATTTTGATCCTAAAACCTGCCCTTGACTTATACATGAGGTCAGCTTATGCATTATGCAGATATGACCTGTTCTTTATAGATGCAAGTGAAAATGCAAGGGCTTTTTTCTTTCTTCCCTATAACTATCCATTGGCATTACGAAGTAAGGCTTATTTGCAGCTAGACTACAGCAAAGCGCTTTCCAAGGAATTTACAACCATAAGTAAAAATGCAAAACTGCCCATCATTTTTATCTCTCTTCCTGTCTGTCCTTTGCCTCATGGGAAGAGAGCTCTCTTGCATCCCACCCAGCTGCCTGTCAGATTTCTTGAATTCCCTCTCCTCTTTTGGAGCAGAGGTAAATGAAGAGAAGAGCAATCAAAACTGGTTTCT